TGGCCATGCTTGCAGAGGCTGCAGAGTGGTGTTTGCACAGTGTCAGAGACAAAAGCGCTGGGTGCACAAACCTGGCGGAAGGGAAGGGTGTGGGTGAGTGCATAGGCACAGGCTGGGGAAAGGTGAAGGAGAGCCTGGCGACCCTGCCCAGGTTGGGGGTGGGGTGGGGTGGGCGAAAACAGGTGGGCGGCAATGCCCACGTCCCCAGCCCAGTGCCACATCCCTGGCTCCAGCTTAGCACGTGGGGAAGGGGCACCCACAGGACCCCGGCAGCACAGCACTGTCTGGGCACCCAATGGTGCTGGGGCAGGGCACACGCCAGAGCCAGCTGCACCATGGCATGGCAGGGACAAGGTGAGTCCAAACAGCACCTGGAGCAAGGGATACTTTGCAAGTCTTGGGGTGAGAGCAGCAACGCTCAGTCAGCCAGAACTGGGGCCAGAGGCAGAGGCTTCCAGGGCTGCTGTGGAGGGCAACCATAGCTTTTTGCAGACACACACCCACCCACACACCCCCCCGCACACACAGAGAGTTGGGTAAAACGAGTAAACTAAAATGCTGGTGAATAGACTCTTAATGCCATAATAAACTAATGGAAGAGAGGTCCTGTGTCACCACACTGTCTGTCAGTAACAAGCAGTTGGTTTGTGTTCCATTGGTGGCACAGGAGCACAAGCAATACGCTTCAGCCCTGTAGATGTTGCATCTCCTTGGCTTCAGCTGCTTTTGTTTTGTTATCTTAGGTGGAAAGGAAAAGATATCAGGCTTTGCTTCTTTTTTTACCCCCTTGATAAATTGCCATAGCTGAAGTTGGGCAGAGGAGACTAAGAAATTGGGGGAACAGTGAAAAGCATGGGGCCAGTAAGGGTGTCTCCATCACCAAACAAGACCAGCCTGATTGTCTTGGGGAGGCTGGATGTTAATGGTGATCAGGTGTAACAGATCACTGATAATTGAATGGTTGTGTAGGTAATGTGTCCATGTGTGTATATGCATAAAGGATCATATTTTGCCCTATGAAAAGCAAAGATAAATTAATTCAGTATTGAAATATTTCCCATAACTGTATGTTAACAGATCATACACTATTAAGTGTAGCTTTACATCACTGTGAGTAAAGCTGTTCCCTCACAGGTATTGTACTGGGAACGGTTTAGTTTGTTTGTGCATAAGTTGATGGTCCCGGGGTAGGTGGAAAATAGCGCACCATGGAAAACGGGGTTCTTCAGCTATGAGGATTAGTTGTGCATTCCCTGCTGGCACCCCGTCTGCGTGCGGATAAGGATGACCTAACTGACCCGAAAGGTTTTGAAGCCACTAACAACGTGAAGCAGCGAGGCCACATAGAACTGAACAATGTAAGTCAGGGTTAGTGCGTCACGTCTCTTGGGAGAGGTTAGGGGAGTTTCTGGACTCTCTTTCCGTTGGCTTCTTTTCTGTCTCTCTTTCTTCATATAATTATGTTTTACCCAAATGAAAACAAGCAGGAAGTAAACTACCTGAATCCATGTTGGTGGCTACTGCAGGGAAATTCAAATTTAGGGACACAACACAGAACAGCTGTTCTGATCTGGAGGGGTAGCAGATGCCCTCCCCCACCAACCAACACCTGGGGTACGAAGGAGGCACTTAGGTATCACCTTCTCTAGCGCTCGAGAAAATGCAAGCAGGCTTCTGTAGGCAGCAGTGAAACAGCACTTGCTTCTAAGAGCAGGCAGAGGACCCAATGAAAGGGCTGAAGTTTGTAGGAACATAAGGAAAATTGGAAAGTACACGGGATGAGTGCTCAAACGCAAGTTGTTTTACTGAATAATATACTTGCAGAGCTGAAAGGGAAAGGAGTGCAACCTCCAGCACAAGATTTCAGCTTCCTTCCAACAAGATGAGATTATGCATGTGCACATTGGTGTTTAACAGGGTCAGATCCCAGTTTCCCTCAGGAGACAGTTGAAAGGGGATCTCCTGTCCCAGCCATGGAGCCTCAGACTCTCCTGCTCACCCTGGGCTCCCCACCCCAGCACATATGGATTCCTCAAGAGCCCCACCTGCCACACCAGTGACAACTGCCTGGCATCTTGCAGTTCCAGGGGATAGAGGGAGGCTTCCAA